CAATTTCTAAAGTGGTGGAGCAATCAGTATGCTGGAAAGAGTTCTTTTCATCGTAATTTGTATTCAGATATTCAAACAATAATAATGGATGTGTTAACTTTTGATAATAGATCAGAATAATTTTCATTGATAGGGAAGGTGGTATACATACACATTACAAGACTTCATATAAAAGGAAAGAAATATTTCGAAAATATATCAAATATGAAATACATAAATATGGTAACTGAGTAAATAATGGCTAATAAATCAAAATAGTAAATTCTATTAATAACCGTATCTAATAAGGTTAATAATTCCAATATTCTCCCTCGTGTTGAAGCATAAATGTCTATCATGTTGAACTTGGATTTGAAGTCATCAAATAATGACCGAGGAAGATTTTTTGTTATGATGTTAGCTAGTTGACTACTAGATGAGACAAATGGAACACAAATATCTCTTCGGAATCGAACTTCTCCTTAATGAAGTGTCCCTCAATCTCTATATGATTGGTGCAATCATACTGGGCCAGATTATGAGCAATGCTAGTAGTGACATTATTATCACAAAATAGCTATAGAGGAGCCGAGACTGGCATACGCAATTCGTGAAGCATGATGCGTAACCATAGAGCTTCACAGATTACCAACGATGTGGAACGAAACTTGGCTTTTGCACTGTTTCGGGCAACCACCAACAGTTTTTTGCTTTTGAAGGAGACAAGATTTTCCAACATCATTGAGCAATACCCTGAGGTGGATCGTCGATCATGGACAAAATCGGTCCAATCAATGTCAACATAAACTGCATTATAACGAGAGGTGTGGCGTGAGAACAACAAACTTGAGCGTGGTATGCTTTTTAAGTAGTGGATAATTCGATGTGCTATATGCACCGTTTGAAAAATGTCTGGGCGCATATGGGCGACATAAGTGAGTTTCTCCACAATGCGTTGGTAGCGTGTCTTGTTTACAAGGACAATATTAGAAACATCAGGCAATTTCTCATATGGATTTATCGAAATAACCACCGGTTTGCAAAGTAGAAGACTGGTCTCTGTCAATAAGTCTACATATTTGCGCTTGGAAAGACAAATGCCATGAGAGGACCTAGCAACCTCCATGCCTAAGAAGTACTAGAGTGATCCCAAGTCCTTCATTTCAAAGGATGTGGCGATGAATCCTTTATAATAGATTCTAAGGTCGGCAGATCATTATCTGTGAACACAATCGTCAACATAGACGGTAAGAATGATAATTTGACCATTAGAGTAATGCTGAAAGACAAGGTTATGATCTGATTGGGCCTGAGGGAACCCATGACCCACTACCATCTGTGTGAACTAGTCGAACCAGGCTCGAGGGAATTGTTTCAGTCTATAGAGGGATTTTCGCAGTCGACACTTTTCTCCGAGAAGTAGAGTCAAAGCTTGGAGGTAGGGACATGTCCCTCCTCCGTGAGATCGTTGTTAAGGAAAGCGTTCTTGTTATCTAGTTGGAGTAAGAGCCAAATCCAGATCCATAGCAAGGGTTAACAGGACCCGAACGGTGTTCAGTTTAGCAACTTGAGCAAACGTCTCCTCATAGTCAACTTCATATGTTTGTGTGTAGCCTTTGGCGACTAACCATGCTTTGTCCCATTCAAAGGTCCCATCGGAGAAGTTTGGTGCTGAAGATCAACCGACAACCAGTTGTTTTCTTTTCATGAGGAAGATCAATAACATTCCCACTTATGATTTCACCAAAGGGTATTCATCTTATGCATTACTGCAGCTTTCTAGAAAGGGTCTGCCAATGCTGCCTCAATAGTGAATGGAAGATGATACACAAAGGAAGTGGAAAATACTTTGTAGGTCGGCGATAAGTTGTGGAATGAGACATTTTGCCATGGAGTAAAAAGAGCAAGGTTGTTTGTGTACCTCAATGGTAGAATTCACATCCTAATTCCGAGCAAGAGTAATCTACGCAAGTATAGTGTCGGGTATGTCGGCTGAAGTGGATTCCAGGACCTGTAAGGAGGCAATGGGCTCAAGAGTATGGGTATTGGGACAGGTCTCAACCGAGGGTTTGATGCTCTGAGTATAGACACAGAGAGTGGATGGAGATGTGGGTCCGGTAGAGGGTGGATCCAGCAAGACAGAAGATGTTGTTCTAGTAGATGGTGGATCCAGTGAAACAAATGGTTCCTCAGGAACAATGGCTGGAGGAGTAGGTTGCGTATCTAATGAAGTTGGAAAAGGATTAGCGCCCAAAAAATTAAATCAAGATTAGTAACAAGTTCCGGAATTTGTGAATTTTTGTAGGTACTCTATTGATGAGATATGTGGCGGTGAGTACAACATCATTCCAAAACTATTTCAGGATATTTATTTAAATATATGGAATAGACAACTTCGATAAAGTGTCGGTTTTTCCGCTCGACTACCTTATTTTGTTAAGGAGTATTCATACAAGAGCTGTGATGAAGGATGCCCTTACGAAAAAATCTTCTGATATAGAGTTAAAAAATTCGCGGTTGTTGTCAGTTTGAAGGACTTCAATTGTTATTTTGAGTTGGGTCAAAATGGAGTGAAATTTTTCAAAAGTTACTGTAGTTTTAGACTTGTCTTTTAAGATATAGACCCACATTATCTGAGTATGATTATCAATCAAGGAAAGGAAACATCATTTATTGGTGTAACTCGGCGTTCGAGATAGTCCTATGAATTAGTGAAAAAGGAGCATGAGTGTAAGAGCGAGGTGGATATGGTACTCACTGATTTTTAGCTAACTAACAAATCTCACATTTGAAAGAGAAAATTTTATTAGTAAACATTAAAGGATGCAAATGTTTTATATATTGAAAACTGGGATGACCAAATGACAGTGTAAAAGCATAATATGACATTCAGGAGACCCGAAAAGACTACAACTACTGGATGGAGTGGCCTCGTCAATACTGTTTTTTCTTTGGAAGAAGTGGAGCCCGGCTGCCCGCTTAACAACACCAGTCACCCTTCCCGAACTACGATCCTGAAAGACAAACATCAGGAGAAGAATGAGCAACACAATTAAGGTCATATGTCAACTTAAGGACTGATAAGAGGTTACACTTTAACGAAGCACATGTAACAGATTTTAGAGTCAGATCGACTGTAAGAATGACAGACCCTTTACCCGCAATGGAATTAACCACCAACAATTTTAACGTCATCTCTTTCAGAGCATGGAGAATTTGTCGAGTAGGCTTGAGAATATCCATTCATGTGGTCCGTAACACCTGAATAAATAATTCGCGAATTAAAATATGTAAATACAGTGAGTGCCATCAGAATGTTACCTTGACGAACATGAGAGGTCGACGGGCCGGAAGTGAACTGACTAGATCCAAGTAGCTTGATCAACTACTCCATCCGACTCTTAATTGAAACTGGTGATTCTGGGTTGTTCTGAGTGGGAATTGGTTGTGCTCTCATGGTTTCTGAGGTTGTAGAGAGACCTTGGCAGCAGAGGATTTGGTCTAAGGTTTACTCGCCGGTTTCCTGTGGAGCTTTCAATACTTGTCACAGGTATGATACTATTTGTGACAGTAATCACAAATGGATTGAGTGGCTCGTGATGACGTGGAGGAAAGTTGAGCACTATTAGAGAACAAGGCGGACGGTTCGACTGAAGGAGTGGAAGTGTCGAGCATGACAAGTTTCGGGCTTTCTTCGAAGCATACCTCGGTGAATGCAACACAAGTTTAAGGAAGGGGATCCCAACCAAGAATACGACATCGAACTTCGTCAAGATCCTTGTTTAGACCCGTCAAGAATTGGAACACAAGATCTTTTTTCACAATATTCTGTAAGAGTGAAAGGTCAGTCGGTGAGTCCCATATGTAGTCATAGTAGAGATCACATTTCATGCATAAGACCACCAAGTAATTGTAGCAGTGGGTCACGGTCCTTAATCTTTGTTTTGCCTCTTGAATCTTTTTGGAAATATCATAAAGTTGGCCTGAGTTTCCTACATCCGAGTGAGTATTCCAAACTGCCATCCATAGTGCTGTTGCTGGTGGAAGAAATAGATACGAACGACAAATAGTAGTTTCCATGGGATTAATAAACCACGACTTGACCATGGAGTTCTTCACTTTTCATGCTCCATATGTAAGGTTAGTTTTCAGAGGTTCATGAATCATTCCTATGGGATAGCCAAATTTTCCACGTCCTTTGACGAACAATGATAGACCACGACTTGAGATCATTGGTAAAAATTAGAGCCGTTAAGTTTATGGGTGGTGATCAAGAAGTTCATGTGGCTTTTTGGGCCTCCGATCTGCAGAGGGATTGAGGCTGGTGTTGATCCTCCAGTGGACTCAAGTACACTGTTTGGAGGAGGCCCTATTAGAGGAGTCCGCCATTATTCCGATTGAGTCAAAAGCTTTGTGGGGTTGTTGAGACATAGGAAGATTCCAGTTGTAGGAGGAAGAACTAGTATGGTGGGTCCTGCAAGGGATAGATATGGCCTTAGGGAGGAGCTCCGATGATGCTAGAGGGAGATCGGGCTAGCTGGAGGATGCTTCTTCGGCCAGAAAAACACAGCAGGAAGGCTTGTAGGTGGTCGGTGGTGGAACCCTGTAGGGGAAGGCCTACAGGTGGGCGACGGCAAGGGAAGAGTCCCAATGGCAGCTAAGGTTAGAACCATGTCTCTGATACCATGTTAACTCTTGAGAGAATAGAATAGGATAATTTTCATTGATATGAAAAGGGATATACCTACACTTGACAAGACTCATATAAAAAGAAAGACATAAATTCGTAAGTACATCAATAGGAAATAAATAAATATGGCAACGAAAGTAAATAAAGGCTAATAAATTAAAATAGTAATTGCCAATAATAACTGCAGCTAATAAGGCTAATAATGCTAATAGGATGCTTTAAATATTTTATTTTAATTGACTATCAAATCTTTTATAACTATTATATACCGCTAATCAGAAATGCTGTTTTGACTGGTTCTTACCATTGGCATGTAAATGGTTTTGTGCAGGCTTATGTTGATGCTGTTTTGGATCTTGCCTCACATTTCATTACACGCCTGCGGCGGTATGCTAGTTTTTGTCGTACCTTAGCTAGTCATGCTGTTGGGGCATCTTCTGGATCAAGCAGTGCTCGCAATGTTGTGGCAAGTCCACCCCTCTCTTCTTCATCACCAGCGACTAGTCAAGGTCAGTTTCTATACAGCCATTTCATATTTAGGTAGAGTTTGTTTCTATGTAATGGAATATGATTATTAATCTTGCCCACCCTGGAGAGGTGAACTTGAATAAAGTTTAGACAAAAATAGTTCGCTGTATGATGGATTTCCAGAGTTTCTAATGCTGAAGGCTTATGGGGTGATCTAATCACATTATTATAAATACCTCTCTATCATTGTTACTTCATAATTGTTTAACGAGGAAATCTGGTGTGTTAGATCTAATCATAAAATTTTGATGTAATGGAATATGATTTTCTGTCATTTTTCCATTGTATTTTCTGCAATTTCATACCATAGCTGAATCTAGATTTAGCAAACTAGCAAGCTGGCGTAGAATATATACATGTTGGGCCAATATCATATCAAGCATAGCTTTATGATTATTCTTAATTCTCTCTTGCCAGTATGAACGTGACGTGTTTTTACCTGTATGATTTTGCTACCAAAAAACCACCATGAAATTGAATGATTATATCTGGAGCCTTTTGACTGAGTGTTTTTTGAAAAAATAACACCATTAAATTATGATTTAGACTTGAACCCAAGAGTTCTCCAATGTCCTAAGTGATCCCGGAGTTAACCAACTACAACTGGAAAAACAAATATTATTACTGAAATTAAATAAGTAATTACAATTAACCAAAATAAAAATCTGAAATTGCAACAGAAGCGACACTGACTCCAACTAAGGTTGGATCAAAGGGAGGTGGTGGTGGCCGGTGAGGTCTGGAAGGTGGCTAGGTGGTGGAAAAGGGTGATTGATAAGCAAAAACAGTAAGGAGGTTGTTTTCCAGGCTCTCGGACAGCAAACAAGCACCGGATATCGACGCAAAAGGGCTATCCTGGGTGATGACAGCAAAGAGGAAGGTGAAGACGGCACGAGGGAGGCGGCTAGCAGCGTGGACAGGGGGAGGCTACTATCCAAAGTGATGACAACAAGACTGGGTGGTTGGAGCAGCTGGGAAACGACAAAAAACATGGTTTCTGGACGAAAACAGCTAGGGAGGGATGCCTGGAATAGTTAGGAAACAATCCGGGGGAATGCAATATGGAAGGTGGCAGCGAGGTGGAAGGGGTAGGTGGGCGGTTTCAAGAATTGGGCTGCAAGGTGGAAAGGGAGGGATACTGATTCTGGAGGACGACAACATGGTGGAGGGATGGAGAACTGGTTTCGGCAGGCGACGACAAGGTGGGACTGTAGCAAATATTTGGGAATGTGATGTTATTGTGGTGTTATTCTAGTATTATTCTGTTTTTTGAGGTATTATTCTTGTTATTTAGGTGTTATTACGGTGCTATCGCCTTATTTTTGTATTGTTATTTTGGTGTTATTGAGATTGTTATTCTAATATTATGACTGTGTTATTTTGGTGTTATTGTGAGATTATTAAGGTGTTAGTAGAATATTTTGTTTTTATTGAGATTGTAGTATTCGATTGGTGTTATTTCCATATCTAGTACTGTTTAAAATATTTTATAAATTTATAGTTCAACGAACCTGGAAATGTTTGCAATGATCCAATTGCAGACAATTTTCTTCGCACTATTGTACACATTGAGCAAGAAGTATATGAACAATATTGTGTCAATGCATATCATATTGGATTTGCTATTCGAAAAAACCACAGTACTTTTTGAAAACTAAGATGAGGGACTTTATATGTGAAAAATCTGGTTACAAGAAAGTAGTTCACCAACACGACGAAGTTCAAAAAAACAAACACAAGGATCGACTGTCCAACCATGATTCGAAATGCTGTTGATGTTAAATGCAACTGAAGCATTAAGAAATTTATAGAAGTCATAACCACCCATTGGGGGAGTATGGTGATAAGCATCTTCTGTGTTCCAACAAAAAGGTAAGCGAAATCAATGCAGATATGCTCAAATCGATGACAAAATTAGGGATTAGAGCTATAGATGCATTGAACTGTCTTGTTACAGAATTTTGGGGAGTAGAGAATCTTGAATATATGAAGAGAGATGTCTTCAATTGCCATAAAAAAAGAGGGAAGAGATAATATTGAACATGGTGACGCTAATTTTTTATTATAATTGTTCACAGAGAGGCAAACTGAGGATAACATGTTTGCATGAGACTTCTAAATTGATGTATAAGGTAGATTGATGAGCTTTTTTTAGATTGATGAGACATCCAGACTTGATTATGACTGCTTTAGGGATGCCATTATTTTTTATACAAATTATAGACTGAATAAATATAATTTATTTTATGCTCCTTTTGTTGGGTTGAACCACAATTGACAAAATGTTGTCTTCAGAGTTAATTTTTTCTTAGACGAGACAATTTGATTCGTTCAAGTGGTTATTCAAAATATTTATTCGTGTAATGGATGACAAACATCCAATAAAAATGCTTACATATCAGTATCGAACAATTACAAGAGCTATTGAAGATTCTCTGTCATATAAATGACAGATTATGTCAATTACATATATATATAGGAAATTTTCTTCGAAAGTACATTGTGGTATGGGTAGTAAGACAATCAACAACCTTTTTATAAATATATGAGCAAATGTGACTCTGAGGAGTTTGAAGAAATTTGGGTTGTAAAGATTAAGAAAGGAAATCTACACTACAACGTTTGCTTAGATAATTTATGCAATATCACACATAAGTGGTTAACAACGTTTGATAAAGAAATATTTGAAATGAGAATCTTAATAACACAAAGAAGCGGGTCCATAAATAGTATCTGTCATGGTGTCTCCAAGCCAACATGCTCCATTATCGAGTATTTTGTGAGACTTGAAAATGTTATGAAATCTTGAAGACGAAATGAAAAGAACAAAGATTTCAATGTGTTCAGTCTACAATTGCATTTGTTGTTAAAAATAATCAGTGTTGAGGCAAACAACTTCATTTTATACAAGAAAGCTATACCCAATGTTCGAGGAAGAGTTAATGCACAAGTTATGTGGTTTTGCTGTAGAATTCTCTCCAAATAGTGATTCAAAATTTGGATAATCAGGGGACAAACAAAACTTGGATTATTAAATTTGACAAGAGTAATTCCACAATGTTGTGAAGTTATAAAAAAAATTAAAATGATGGGATTATTATGTGCTCACTCTTTACGAGTTATTAGCTTGAGAAATATAATAATGATTTCTGATAAATATCTCTTGTAGCAATGGTCTGTTCATGCAAAACGAGACATCTATAATAGCTATGCACATAAAGATCTCAAGGAGACACAAATGTGGAGTGATTCTTCAAGTGGCCTTATATTTCACATACACATTTAAAAGTTTGCATATTAAATTAGTATTAAAGCACAAGAAAATGAAGTGGTTGAGCAATGCATGTTGGATTCATTAAAAAAAATTATTAGTCGATGTTGAGATCATAATAATTGGAAGAGCACCTCAGTTAAAGCAAAAACCGAATAAAAAAAACAATGAATAAAGAATGCAATTTGAATTTTTCAGTGAAGATGGAGCCAAAAAAAATCTTATTCTATATTAAAAGGGTATTAGGAGAAAAACAAGAGAATAAAAAGTATTTATTTTTATATTCAAAAACAGTTTTATTATATGTAACATTATTTTTCTCTAACATGAACTATGGTATACAGGAAAGGAGAAAGAAGTTTCATAAAGCCAAGAACCAGTTTTCCCCATGCGACAGAAATTTGTTTGCAATGTCATATTTTCTCAGTTAGGTATATAACAAAAATTCAAAATTATTAGACTTCTTATTGTTACATCTTCCTAAACGTTCACTCGTAATTACTCCAAAATAGTAAGAATTGTTTACATTGCAAGACATAAAAACATATACCAGCCTGTTGATGGATTTAATTCGTGAGATATAATTCCTTACAAAATCTTCAAATATATAATCATGTAGACGGATTTGTATAAGAAATCTTATAAACTAGTCCATCAATTGTTTTAAGAGAGTTTGGAATCATTAATAAAAAAGTTAGATAAATTTAGTAAAACTAGTTACTTAGCGTTGAGATTGTATTATGGTATCATTGTGGTGTTATTGGACAAGTTATTTTGGTGTTATTGTGTTGTTACCGTCATGTTTTTGTGGCTGTACTTCAACGGTTGTTTCGATTTTATTGGAGTGATTATTTTGGTGTTATTGGAATGGTTATTTTGGTTGTATTCAATGTTTTTAAGGCTTTACATTGTCGGTTGTTTTGATGTTATTATGACAGTTATTTTGGTTGTATTTCGGTGTTGTTATGGTGTTTTTCGAGGTTTGACTCTAGTGTTATTTTGCAGAAGTGTTATTGGGGTATTATTGAGGTTGTATTGTGTGTTATTTTTGTGTTACCGTGTTGTTACTGCCATGTTATTAAGGTGCTATTGAGGTGACATTGAAGTATTATTGGAGTGTTGCTTAGTTTTATTGTGATCTTATTGGCATTGTTTTACGGTATTATCGGAGTGGTGCGGGTGTTATTGATGCGGTTTTGCGGCGGCTATTGTTGTGTTATTGATGTGACATTGAGGTATTATTGGAGTGTTGCTTAAGTGTTAGTGCGGTGTTGGAGTGTTATTGGAGTTTTTTTGCGACGGATTTCGGTGTTGTTGAAGTGATACCGCGATATTATTGCAATGTTACTTTGGTGTTATTGGCGTGGTTTTGCGGTATTGTTGGAGTGGTGTCGTGGTATTATTTTCATTATTTTACGATGACTATTGTGTTATTCAAGTGACACGAGATATTATTGAAGTGTTATTGAGGTGACATTGAAGTATTATTGGAGCGTTGCTTAGTTTTATTGCGATGTTATTGGCATGGTTTTATGGAATTATCGGAGTGGTGCGGGTGTTATTGATGTGGTTTTGCGGCGGCTATTGTTGTGCTATTGATGTGACATTGAGGTATTATTGGAGTGTTACTTAAGTGTTAGTGCGGTGTTGCAGTGTTATTGGAGTTTTTTGGCGGCGGATTTCGGTGTTGTTGAAGTGATACCGCGATAT